AACAGGTCGTACAGGCAACACATGCTCCTGTGCGTTCTACCAATACATCAACTCTGATTATCCCTAAGACCAGACGATCATGGGGAGATCGAGCATTTGCCTCAGCAGCTCCCCAATTGTGGAACAGTCTCCCTAACACACTTAAGGACTGTAAATCAGTAGATAGTTTCAAGGCCAGCCTGAAAACTTATCTAATGGCCAACTTTGACTAATATCATCTTCTTCTTTTTTTATAACCATGTGTAATGTAATGTAAACAAAATTATATCTAAGTATATTATGTAGCTCATTGTAAGCGCCTTGAGCACCCTCTGGGTGGATATGTTGCGCGTAATAAATGTCTGAATTATTATTATTATTATTATGACAGCTGCTTTGTGGTCAATCTCCTACATTAATCAAATCCCTAAATTCTACCCATGACCAAACACTACACCCAATGCTAACCCTATACCCTATTGCAACATTAACCCCACACTTTGATGAAATAAATCCCAGAGCTAATGTCAAATCATCTGGTCCCCATGGAAGACCAGCGGCATCATAACAATACAGCTGAGTATGGGCTATCCAGCCGTTTATTTTATCTTGTAATTCATAATTCTATTTGTTATTGTTTTACTGAATGCATGTTGTCTTTTTATACAGAAAATAAAACAATTAAAAAAAAAAAAATCAAAAAAATGTTTTATTAACACTCTTTCTCTCTTCCTCTGTATTATATCTTTTTAGGGAGTTTCGTTTCAAGCACCCAGACAAGACGAGGCTGAGTCTCCGCAAGAGCAAGGCCATGCGTAGTAACTTCTTCTCAGCTGAAATATTATCCGTCTTCATTCCATCCTTATTTCTGACGAATCTCTTTGCTCTAGGCATGGGGTAGGTATTCATTAATAACTTTTAGAGAACAAATCTTGCCTTAAAGGCAACATTTAACAATGTTAAATCTGAGATGCACAGTCCTACGTGTTATCAGTGTCTGTAATATGGTGTAATATTGAAGCCGTAAAAAATTGCCCATCAAAATGATCAAGAAGTGCCTCAAAAAGTAAAAATCCTTGAGTGATCGGTTTTACCATACTCATTGTCCCCAATAGACTGTAGTGTTATCAAAACTGTTGGGAAAACGCAAAATTTGGTTTCGATTTCCAACCATAAATATCTTGATAATCAGACAGGCGATCAGCCTGTAAAAGTCATGGGGTTCCTGACTGACCTAAAGGTTTATAATTATCATTGCAGCATGAGCTAAATCCAGGATTTTGTTTCAGAATCTGAGACAAAGTTACCGGATCCCTTTAATAGAATCGCAAGCTGGCTCTTTATGAAATGTGATCTCAGTAATTCATAAGCAATTTGTCTGATTTTTTTTAAGGAAAAAAAAAAGTACAAGTGATTGAATCATATCATATAACACTCTCTATCTCTCTCTCTCTCTCTCTCTCTTTTACTTTTGCTCTCTTTCTTTTGCCCTCTCCTTAACTTTATGCCTCGCTCTGCTTTCAATTTGTTTGTCTATGTGTGTGTGTGTGTGTGTGTGTATCTCTCTCTCTCTCTCTCTCTCTCTCTTCATGAACCTCACTCATTTCTCTCTCGCTTGCTCTCTCTGTCTCTCTTTTTGATACTGCAAACTTAACTTGACCTTCCTGTTTCACTTCCTGTCACAGGGTCTTCATTGGTCTAAAAATGGCAGCTCCCAGGTCAAGTTGAGACTGAACACTAGAGGGCTCCCTACAGTTATAAACTTGGCTTTGAGGATGGAGGACATGTGACAGTCACGTGTCCAAGCTGATGCCAAATCAACACAAAATGAATTAATTTGTTCCACAAGAGGTTTTTCATTGAGTGTATTTAATATACCTTTACTTTTCTCTATGAGTGAGGTAAGAATTTGTTCGTAAATCACAAAGATGTTTGTTTTTCCCCTTGTGAGGATGCATTTTTGATAAATACATATTTTTCTGAGAAATTCAAAGTGCCATCTTAAACTTATCATGTAGATTGCAGAGAACAACTGATATAGTTCACTGTTTGGAAATCCTAGGCCCCAATTCATGAATTCGAACCATTGTTAAAATCATGGATTGAACCTCCACCCTTGTCTAAAAGAGGTGTATATACATGTAATAAGTGTATATTTTCCTTTCATCGAGCATGAAGACACGCATCTACAGTATGGAGGTTTACACCAGTGGTTGAAGTAAACCTCTATGGTGAATTTTGGCCATAAAGTGCTTATGCCCGTACAGCATATAATCTTGCTCTTCTTTATCCCATTACGACGGTGTAAGCATTGAATGATGAGATAAATAAAGGAGCTCAAACACCCCAACCCCCTCCTCCTTATTGGTAGATAGGATCAATCTGTCAGGCACCATGATCAGAAAATTCTGGGCCCTGTTTCATAAATCTTGTTATCAATGACAAATATGCTCTCAGCCAATCAGATGCCACGATTTCAGTAGCTCATAACAATGAATATAACCTGTTATTAATATCAAGTTTTGTGAAACAGGACTCTATCTCAATCTACATACACTTTTGTCTCAAAAGGCAGTGCTTTCAGTTTGTTCCCAGAAATCTTTTACTTTTCTTGCTTCCTCCTTCGCTCAAATTTCACTTGTTGATATCTTAATGTGATTTAAACTATATTTTGGTTGAGGTGGGTGAAATTTCCCTTTACTGAATCTCTACGAAACTGAACTGAGTGCCTCATTTCTATGTCATCATATATTCAAAATTGACCAGTGTAATGGAGATGGGATTTACCTACAGTATATTAATCACCATCTTAAAGTTGTTTTTATTTCTTCTCTTATTTACCCAATTCCTTGTCATACATGTATATCAAAATCGGACTGTTTACAAGTATATATATCATCATTTTGTTCTGCAATACTGCCCCCCTTGCTGTATATATAAGGATGAAATTGATATTATGACATACTGGCAATTCTAGATTCTTACATTGTATATTGGACTGTATAACTTCATTAAGAATTTTAATTGTTGCATGTGATGAACCTTGGAGGGAAAGTCCACTTTGGAAATCAGCTTAAACAAAAGCATAGAAATGAGAGAAGCAGATCTGGGAAAGTTGTAAGTAAAATCAGATAAAGGATAAGGAATTAATGAGTTTTAAAGTCGGAAATGTGTGAACAAGACATCATATTAAACTCTTGTTTTTTACTCTAGTATCTGGGCTCTGTTTCATAAACTGTGCTATCATCAATAACATGTTACAATAAAAGTTATATGCTTCTGAAATTATTGATGCGAGCTAAATTGTAATAGAAATGTGATACTTGTTATTGATTAAGAGCTTTATGAAACAGGGCCAAGAATTTTCACCTAACATCACATTAATTCTATGGTACAAAATATTTACTATTAAGACAGTAATGTGGATTTTGTGATTTGATTGATGATATGCGGGCAATAGATATGCCCTGCTAGTGACAAACATAGACTTATTATGAGGTGATGAGAGCAGCATTTCTCTGAAAAAGACTATGAGCGATTTATTCATTTGCTATATTTATATCAAATGTGTATACTATCAAACTATATATTTGTATATAATCGGCAGCAGCATTGTATTTGCATGTTCTCTCTCTCTCTCTTTATTATTTTAACTATTTTCTTTTTTTTATTAGTTTAATGGGGATAATTCCATGCTTATAGCGTTTGGGGCTGTCGTATTTTTACCTTTATCATTTTTTTTTATTGCAAATTTGTCCAATGTGATTTCCCTGCAGGTCTATGCGCAATTTAATTTGGTCTGGTACAATTTTCTTCATGCATTTCCATTTATTCAAAGCAACTTTATTTTTTATCTTGACATAATTTGTTTTGTTTTAGAGCACAATTTTTGTGCAAGTAATAATTCCAAGTGCATATATATAAATTTGCGGTGCAGAGTAGTTTTTTTTATATGGAGTGTTAGAAGAATAAAATATAGGAATCATCATATTGAGTTACTTGTTGTGAAGACAATTTAACAAGGAAAGTTTTGCAATTTTCAAGACTGCCCCATACTGGCAGGTAAAGTCAGCTATTAAATCAACTCACATTCAATTTTTTTTTCACTTCTGCACTGATTTAGTTAGTCAGAAACAGTGCTTTATTTAAAGCTTTTTCTTTTTCTTTTTTCTTTTTTGTGGGGTCCCAATTTTCATTTCCTTCTACATTTAAGAATTTATTGTCTTGAATGAAATTGTAAATAAGCTCATCAATTTGTAAAACACTACATAGGAATGTATTGATGGTACATGTATTTATAGTTACTAATCTAGAATATCAATAGAGAAGTAGAAAAGTGAAAGTCTTTGTGATAATTGTGAATCTTTATGACTATTGTACAAAAATATTTGTAGTTCTCTTGTTCTTTTGTATTTCTAGTTTCTATGTATTTATAATGGAGAGGATGAGAGTGGATGAAAGTCACTGAAAAGTGTACCATTATTATAATTATTTGTCTTAAACAATATTGACAAGCAATTTTGAAAGTATTAAAGTAGAACTAAACGATAGGTCAATTTTTAAGAGGACTATGTCATATTGATGATATAATGGGAGTAAGTAAGATAGGAATATTTTTTTCTTCATTTGGAGCACTACGGATCATAATAAATAATTAGGGAATATCTGAACTTGATTAAACGTACCTGTACATGTATCTCCTGTTTAAAAAAAAACTTATGGCTTCAAACTTTCACAAAAATTAAAGTGACTGGAAAGTAGGCTTTCCTGTGTGTTTTTATTTTCAGGGAACATAGCAGTGTGGTTATCGTGAAGGTTGATTGTTAGCACATTGTACATTATTACACTAAATGTTCATTCATACAGGCATCAAATTCAGTATTAAATCATATATTTTTTCAACATATTTTTCATTCTATTATTTAATATTATTGTCACATTGTCATCGCAATGAAATTTTGCATAGTCTACAAAATTGGTTAAGATTCTGTGCTCTGTAGTGTTAAGAAAAATGCGCACATTATTTTCTTTACTCTTCAAAAGCCAAGGTCCCCTGCCACAAAATGTGCCTGAAAATGTTAACGACCGAAGTGCTGCAGTTGATTCTATTGGATGTGGATAAATCTGTTTGTTTGGTTCTACATGTAAATCCTTAGTAATACTAAGACTATGTGTCAATTACTTTATACCAGTAATGAAATTTGATTGGTAAGAAGAGTTCAAAGTACTTTTTCATCAAAGTCTTGAGAAATGAATTTGCTTTTCACCCAAGTGATCATTTTAGGGCTTTCTTAAGAGGTGAGATTCATCCGAATCCGTGGCAACTTGAATTGCAAAGTTGCAGTTGACCATCTCTCATGTACATTGATTGAGTTGCACTCAAATCAGATCAGTTGCAATCAGTATGAATCAATGGAAACTCGTAATAAGACGACGCCCCTTGTTTTTCTTTCAAAGAAGAATTGTTTATTCATGATATTTGAGGACTTTCTCTCCATTTTGCATTTATCGTATGTTGTAATGTCTAAATACTGCTTTAGCCAGTGACTACTGTTTACAAGATATTTTCATGATGTATAGGGCAAATTAAAAAATAAAACTTGTAACCTAGCTAGATAATTTGTGACAGGTGCACTATAAATTATGTCATTTGAATACTTTCATGCCTTTTATGAATCCATCTTCATGAAATCCCATCTTATTTGATCATGTTCAACCAAAGATACATGGACCGAGATAAGGAATGTTTTTCACAAGATTTTTGTGACGTACTAGGATATTTGTAATAAAAGTCAAGAACTAAGATTATTAAAAGGGTTATAATGTTTTCTTGAATAAATTAAGAGTGGCTCTGGAAAATATTTTCAACAACTAATTATGATATGAATATGACTATTTTACCATCCATGAAAAAGCTTGCTGAACTTTATTATTTTAAGAACCTGAGTAAGAAAGTTATTTAAGCGGATTTTACATGCGTGATTAACAGAAATGTGTTCAATCTTATAATTTGATGAAATGAATACTTACCAAACCATGCACTTACCGTATACCGGTAATCAAAATTTAAAATTTGGAAGGAATTGTTGATACAATGAATCAGAATGTACTGTAACTGTAAGTGAATGTAATTTCCTGTTTATCGTCATGTCGTAAGAAGTAGTACTTCTAGACAAAATTGACAATGAAAAGTAAAAACATGCAACTGATTTGTGCTTCGATAATAATTTGTTTATTTTATTTCATTTTTTCTTTCTATTTGCTCGTTTTCTCATTTTGTGACTCTTTGCAAATCCGTTCAACAGACAGAAGTGACTGTTCATTCAACAAATAACGATTTGTTTCTTTGTTTCTTCAGCTATTGATTGCTTAAACTGATCTTGCATTGCATGTTTATTCAGGTTTGTTAATTTGTTAAATTCATGTTGCTTTTAATTTAGTGACAAAAAAAAATCATTATGCAGCTTACAATTGAAAAAGAATACAAGTGAAAAAAATTGATGTACGGTATGCTGTTTGTTTTGTTTCTAGTTCTAAGATGTTTATCTAAGTTTTTGCTCCCTCCTCTCTGTCTTCACTCTCTCTCTCTCTTCTTCTTCTTCTTTTTTGGGTTAAGTCTGCCTCCTACACAGTTGAAGATTCTTGCAGACTGACTAGTGTGTGACTACTGTATGTGTGTGCTTACGAGAGCCAGGTGTATGGTGCAATGCTATTAATACGGTGCAAGTAAAACTCTTCTCTAATGTGAATCCCTCCATGCAATACATACGTAAGAAATCAAAATAAGAACAATAAGGTCAATGTTTCATTTTACATTTGAAGTTCATTCATACAATTTAATAATCATTATCTGTCCATACTCACGCCCACACACACTTGATCAATGTGACCATTATGAATCAAATTAACTCCCAAGGCTCGTTCAAGTACATTTTTGTATGATGCGGTAAATGTGCTGTGAAACAGCTGCCGCTCTTTTGTTAACATGTGAATGAATGGCAGGCGCAACAAAGGTCCTACTATCCTACGCATATACACTGAGCGGTTTTGCTGCATTATATCTGAACAAGGCTTTACATGTACATGCATAAATCAGATTATAAAACTCATTAACTTGAGCTAAAATTTGCTTACCGGGTAGTTTGCCTATTTTGGAAACAATTTTAGTTATGGTCATGCGATTGCATTGTGAAAGAAACATTGTGAACTCGATCAGAAATGGTTGATCATCTTGCATAGACGTACCCCAGGGTTCTGGAATCATCAAAATGATAAGAAATTTGGCCAAGTCTTCATAAAGTTAGAATCACTGTACACAGAAAGATGTATATGGGACTACACACACGTGCGCGACACGTGCATGTGTATCTCTCAACAGGCAAGAGATACACTAATTCACCAAATATATCAATTAGTAGGCGGTTTCCCATCAAAATTTTTATCATCATGAATTATTCAAAACATATTCTTTCACATGATTGGTAATAAGAGCTTCCATTTCATTTTTTGAAATTGGGGCGTTTTCAATACTGGTCTTTACCTTTAACGTCCAGGTGATGACCCCACAGTCTACATAATCATAGAAACTACCTCTTCATTCGGCAATATAAAGGTGCATTTCTGGATAATTTCACTATTTTTTGTTGATTTTTTTACCATCATAGTCATTTTTAATGATTGAATTCAGCAATAAATTAAGAATACAGTGCAGTTGTGACCAGAAAAGCTATTAACAATGAAGAGTGAAATATGATGACACAATGTGCAGACATGTTTCTCTTTGTCTTTTATAGTATACTCTCACTATCTAAATAGAGAGTATACACATGCACATGAATACCAAGACGTTGTGGGTCAGGACAGGTTGTGCATCCGGACAGTTGATTTAAAACGGTAATTCAAAGAAATTTACACACAATATTTCACCAATCTTTTCAGACATTTGATAGACAATATTGTAAGGGATAAATATTTGTGATGGTTCATGCTATTTGATGCATAGAGATTTTGGATCACTATTGTACCTGATAAATATCTCCGTCCTGTCGCAAATGTATATGGAATTCGTCTGACCATTTTAGTACTTCATTTACTAATGAATTATCTCATTCACATATGCTTTATACACAAACCACTTGCTCCCTGCAGGTAATGGGTAAAATAACAGTTCTTTGAAATGTCCTTGGGCCAACAGGTATGTTATGTTCTATCTGAAGTAGTACTGATTGATGATAGACCTGCTCAAATTTCCTCACAACTTATCAATAATATCTTTAATTAATACATTTGTGTAGATAGCATGGGCAGTGACAACAATGTAACACACTTTCATTCAAATATACATGACATAAATGCTGTTTTGACAGTAAAAATATGGTTATAAACATCATAAAACAAATCAAGTGTTGAGATTTTGTAGTCCAAAAGAGAGATGAATGGTCACATTTTCAATGTAAAACCAAACCTCTTTTTATAGCACACATAGTTTTGAAAGAATAGAATTTTAAGAAATGTATATAATCATTTCTTTCAGGAAGCATACTTTAAAGCAATGGGCGTCATGAATAAAGAAACATATTGTGAGGTACGCTTGCAATTTATTGATTCATAGTCATTGTGGAAGACTTCATAAATGCATCAGCTCTCACAACATTACTCATAAATTAAAACAGCACATTGCGAACATGGTACCCAACTTGAAAATGTTACAGAGATTGTTTTATAATAATTTACTGTAATAACAAAATTTCAATCTTTCATGTTTTGTCCAGTATTACAGATTACAGTCCCATGATCTAAGTTTTAGACAAAATATAACATTAAATGGACATGGTCTCCAAATTAACCATACTTTACTTGTAGGAATAGTTGTGTTGAGGTCAAGGCAGGATAATCTCGTGGAAACTAATCTTGTCAAAATGACAACAGATTATTCACTTTGAAATCTACATTACACAATTTGAGCCAAGTCAATTTTTCTTTTCACATAAAAGAAAAAGAGTTTTGATCATAGTTTCGTTCACATATAAAATAGTAAACTGTAGCTTTCAAAAAAAAAATGACATAAGAGCAATATGCTTCATGTTTCTGTATGTTTTAACCAGGAAGACTGAGTTTTTACTAACATCTCCCTGTTATACCACACATACTGAGTGAATGTTATAACAAACAAATAGTGAATACACATACAGCACCTTAATCTTGATTGTGCAGCTAACTTTTCTTCATCCCCACTTGCCGCAAACACACACAAAAAAACGATGCAGTTTCCCACATTATTTACTCCTTTCAATACACAATACAATAAAGCCATTGTGACAATACTATTTAATGGGTATTGCACTGTGAGGTATTTGTGGCTAATTCCCTGCAATGTGCCCTGTATATTGTGATACATATGATATTTATTTGTATATTCAATGAATAAATGAAACATCTCTTGATATGGCTATGACTGGAGGTATGGATTCTAGACAGCACCATAATTCAATGGTCGCATCAAGAGATTCTGCATTTTTGGTTGAAATATTGAGGGTTCAGTGACACAAAGACGTAACTCCATATTTCTCCACAATGAGTATTTGATATCAAAATGCTCAGAAAATGTGAGCTTTCCAGGAAACACAAAGACTTAACTCCACCTAACATCCCATTGAAGTCAATGGCAAGTGAAACATAGAGTTACTCCTTAAGGCCTAAGAGCTCAGTGACACATAAACCGCTTTTTCTCAAAATGGCCAAAATGGAGTTGCGTCTTTGTGTCACTGGCCCCTCGATATGTATAAAAAAGACAATTGTCATCGGGGATACCTTGCAAGGAATGGCTCATTTGTGCATCATATATTCTTTGATTTTAAAAATCAATTGTAAAATCATGTGGAATGCATGACAGTTTTTTTCATTCGCAGGGATAAATACTTTGCTCCCAGATGTCACAATTGATAAGAGCTTTTAAAAATATAAAATTTGTGAATAATATCTAATTTGACTAACTACATTGGTTGTTTGAATCACAAGCCCTTGTTATAGAAGACATAGGGTAGCGAGTCGCCATATTTGTCTTGTATAGCTTTCCTTGTGTCAGGTTCCAGCTTGGATACAGCGATGGTGCTGCAGAGACAAGTGTGAATCGAGAGAGAGAAGACAGAGAAGAGAGAGAGAGGGAGAGAGAAAGAAAGAGTTAAATAGAGTGTGAGAAGTAGCCGGAAAGTGACAGAAAGGGGGAGGTGGATTGTAAAGTTCGTAAAGAAGTAGAATGTAAGGAGAGAGAGAGTAAAAGCATGAGAAAGAGTGACAAAGATGGATAGAGTAAACATGAATAGTATAAGAAAAAGAAAGTATGAAAGAGAGAGACAGAGACAGAGGGAGAAAGGAAAAGATTACAGGAAAAAAAGAGAAAACAAAATGTGTTATGAATAATATGATTTGATTGATCTACATTTGCCACACTCAACCCAGGTGATGTAAATGGGTACCTGGCAGGAATTAATTCCTTGAAATGCTAGAGTGCCACAGTGGCTGCCTTGCTAAAGCCATGGTAATAATCGGGGCAGCGCCAGGAGCGTCACAACGTGACGGACATGTGCGCTATATAAGAAGCCACCATAATTATTATTATTATTCCCTCCTTTGGAATTGTATTACTCTGATGTATCAATTTGACAGTTATATTAGAGACAATGATACAGTGTACCCAGTCATTTGTTTAGCGGGGCTGATAACTGTCACAGTGATAATCTTGAGATTTCCTAAATTCCATTACAACACACTGCATTAAAAACAAATATCATTCTGTTAGGAACTCAAAAGCTGACTTACCTCTTTTGAGGAAACAAGGCACATGCACATGGTGTCATGAAGACCAGACTGCAAGAAAGAAAAATTGTATAGTTAAAAATAAAGTATGTTTCAGTAATGTATTGTTCCAAAAATGTATTGTTCAAAATATGTATTGTTAAAAGCTTACCAAAGATTTAGTTGTTAAATCGTATCTGTCTCCTAAGACCATGGCAATTAGATTCTTTGAAATCAAGATTAGAGTTCTTCTAACAGATTTGAAACTGGGTATGATTCAAAGTTTAGGTTAAATTGCTATAAATGTTACTTTGGGATTACAGAAAAAACTTGCAACAATTAGAAGTAAGTTCAATGCATAGTGATAGATAACTTGACATTTTTCATTGGTTTTTCCTGCTGCCTAGAACACTTATAAAAAACTATACACATAAAACCTTTGATTCACTTTGGAATACATGGTTCAACAGTGAGGTGTCGACCATAACAATATCATTCTATTTTTACAGATATCTCAATAGAGTAACAAATTCCCAAACACTTTCTCAAACATGAACGTACATGTATTTTGTAGCAAAATATTTAGTAAAGGATCATTAAAAAAGAGAGCCAAATTAAATTCATACACTCTACAAGTCTACAAGATACTTCAATAAAGACAATAAAAATGCCTAGAACCTTCCTGAGGCATTAAATCTTTTGGTATTATTATTTAAAGTTTTGCTTTGGTTAAGGAAAGGCAAGGAAGAGAAAATGACTTACAAGCATCCTACACCCAAGACTTGGAACGGAGCATGCAGTACAGGTACTTTGTTGAACCATGGGTATTTTATCAAGCGTTCCATAATAACTGGTAGCACACCTAAAGGTAAGAGAGAAGATACATTAATACATGTTTGTAAACCTGATCATAATTTTTTTTTCATGGCAGGCATTAGCATAGGCATACAGACAGATAAACTGAAAGAGCAGGCTAGTAGTGAGGCGATATTAATTTTGCGTCAAATACAGCTCCAGCATTTGCACCCCAAATAATTCTGAAATCATAATCCAGAATCTCTTGAGAAAGTACACACAGAAGCAATATCTAACAGGTGTGAACCAAAAATCAACTTACACAATGTCTTACTTCAGATAAATTCTATTTTTGTTGTAGACATTTCAGTAAACATACATGGTCCTCTGTTTACCAAGTCAGGACCGGTGATACCAGAAGGGATGGGGGAATTTCCCTGCAAGTTTTTCATAGTGATCATTGCCCCCCTCCCCCCCCCCCCCTTGTTTGCAAACACTATTTACCTGATACCAAGATAGGAAAGATATAAGATAAATGAACAAGAGAAAACATAATATTTTGACTTACACATGCCAGGAGCTGCCATGAAAATTCTAGAGAAGACTACCTGAGAAATGCCTTTTACTGCTGCTTTCTGTAGAGATTAAAACATATACTGGTATATCAAATGTTTTATTTAGAGCATGGCCAAACACTTAACACAGCAAATGGATAAGCAAAAACATACCTACATATATTAAATCGAATCTTATCAAATAGGTTGAGTAAAACAAGAAGCACTTAACAGCCAAGTGACCATTGTAAACACAAAGCCTTCTTTAATTTCCCTTTCTGTTGAACTTAAATCTTACCCATCACTTACAGGTATAGACCAGTTCTGGTCATGTGATTGCATTGTGAAAGAAACGGTGTGGCTTCCAAACCACAATGCAAATCAGTCGACACATTAGTACAATTAAAAAAAAATTTACCTCAGAGATGTTTTCATCTTCCATTAATTGACAAAGTCAAAGAGATGAAGAAAAAAAAATAATCACAATTATTGAGTGCATTAGTTCCAACTTTGGCAAAAGGGTTGAGACTTACCCTTGATTTTCCGACCTCTTTGCCCTGGTCGTCATAGATGACGATACCGTTGATGAGCTCCTGTTGTCTCATCATGGGAATGTTCACACAGTTAGCTGCAGCTACAGCAGCAAACGGGACATACCTGGCTATCAGAGGAGGCGCAGTCTGAACGGTAGGTAGAGAGAGAATAACTCATACTCATACACATCAATACTTGTGGTAATGCCAAAACAACTTTTGGAGAGGTGTCATGGACGAGTGGATATGTCACCAGACTGTGGATCACAAGGTCCACGGTTCAAGTCCCACTACGTCACAAATGTCCTGTGGCAAGACATTGATCTACATTTGCCACTCTCCACCCAGGTGTTAAATGGGTAACCGGTAGGATGCGAAAGCTAATGTGCTAAGATTAGCAAGTGTGCGCTTGTCAAAATGACGCCTGGCTGGAATGCTCTCCAGGGAGTGGAGAATATGCATACATTGTGTGCGTGTAAGCCTTAATCCGATGAACGGGAAATAATATATACATATATTTGTAAAACGCTTTGAGAGGGTCTTCAGTATATAAGAACTAGCTATTATTATTATTTGTCAGATTTCTTTGAAAAATCTTTCTCACTATAAGACACTTCGTAGATACTGTACGCGCATGGGCAGATAAAGGTCATTTTAACAAAACTGTGAGACCCATCAATACGGGTACCTCTATGAGATCGCATTATGACTGAAATATTGTAGATATGTCATACAAATATTTCAATACAGGTAAACTTGATTGACAGTACACAGGCAAGAGGTTACCGTGTTTGCTTTACAATCACAGCTACGCACCATGATAAAAGAGTTCTACTGATTACGCATGATTCCATTTTTTCCACATGTATACATATTTCATGATACTTTGCACTATGCACTAAAGGAACACTTTAAACCATATAGTCTGTTTAAGCATAACATTATGTAAAACAAAGTAAAGTATTGTCTCTGTTGTGTGTACTGTAAATTAAAATTATACAAAGATCTTCTCTTCTCTTATGATTAATAATTTTGGTAGGTATAACTACTAATAAAATATAATGAATTCCTTAATTTCTCTTGTACAGTCTTGTTAATTTAATGTACATGTACTTACTTTGGTTAATGCATTAAGTCCTATAGCTGTGACCAGAGCACCCCCAGTGGCTGTGGCATAGGCTGTGCCAATTTGCCTGTTTGTAAAGAAATTCATGAAAAATTCAAGGTCAAAATATATCTACATACCTTAATTAAATTTAGGAATTTGATATAAAGGTCGGATGGAGCAATGAATTATAAAAAAGATTATCTGTAACTGATTAATAGACTTGTGGAATTGCATTCATATATGCTTTCCATAGTACATTTAGAGCAATTATACTTAAATAGAAATTGCAAAGATGAAACAAAGTTTCTTTCATTTACAACATACTAGATATATTGAGGTCATTTTCATCATCACTTTTCTATAATGTAAGCTTGCACTTGCATGATACTAAACTATACAATCAGACTTTTAAAGTTACATTTCTGACTCAGACTAGGCTACTGCCTGTACACCCGGAGCAGTACAAGGTGGAAATTAATACAAATACAGGTGTATAGACCTTTAAAGAAAAGAGGATGATCCATAAAACAGGAAGAATACAACTTAAATGTGCTGCAAATTTGCAAAATAGGTTTGAGCACTTGGTAGTTGGTACATTGGTTCACAGAAAGAATATTCTGTCCTATAGTATTGTTTAGGCAGAGTATACAGAAATAATATAGTTAGAGGTTCATTAAATAAAAATACAAGAATGAGTAAATAAAACGAGTAAATACCAATTAGTTGTTGACGATGCTGCATTTCTGTTTGTGTAGTTAACTAGAGCATTGAAGGACTGGTTCACCCATTGCCAGAACACTACAGCAGGTACAGTTCTGATTGAGAGAAAAAGTGACATCAACAGAGGATATAAAAGAGTAGGTTGCAGTCAAACTTGCTTTAGTTACCATCTGTCTACAAAGACCACATTTTTTGTTTCCCTTGAAAATGGTTTCTCATTGAAACATGTACTATTAAAAAGAAACCTGTACATAAAGACCACCTGCCTATAAAGACCACTTTTCTTGTCTCCCTTGGGTGGTCTTTATAGACAAGTTTTACTGTATTAATATCCTTTTGTGTAATTTGCTGGCAATGTATGGTATTTTACAGAGTTAAAATCCTTCTGTTCCTCAACACACATATCATAACAATTTGGCAACCAATTCCCTGTCTTTTACTCCAAAACTTTTCTTGACAAGCTTTAAAAAGACAAAAATGGTAAGCATATTTTCAGGTGCACTTTTGGTTGGAGTTTTAAAGGGGCACATAGTCTTCAGACATAGACTCTACTAGGTTCTTTGACACTTCAAAACAATTCCATAAAGTCTCGAGATGTTCCCCCCCCCCCTGTCTTTCAGATGGTGACGTTAAAGGTCGGTCCCCAAGCGTAAATAATCATATCTGATTGATACACGTCTGTAAAAACCCAATAACACACACACACACACACACACACACACACACCTGCCCCCCCCAAAAAGATACAAAAAAATAATAATAATAATATGATAACAATAATAAGAATGATAATCAAAATATATATTAAATAAATAGATAGAATTAAAAATTAAATTTACAAATGCCTACATGTAAAAGGTGTCCAAAAACAGGGTTGTGAAGGCTCTTACCTATAGAACTGCATCATGGCACCAGTGATGAGCATACCACCTGGAACTTGAAAGGACATCCGACCAATGAAGTTCTGTCTGTCTCCTGTGTCTGGGTGGAAAGCGGACATGTAGAGTCTCTGAGCGTATCGAAGCTGCTCCTCTTTGGTTCCTGGAGGCTCCATTCCAAGTCTGACGAGTGAATGAATTCAGAATGATAAAAGAATATATAATTTTGTATCGGTACCTCTGTTGAACTGCATGTATGCCTGTTGCTATCAGTAAATGTTTGCAGGTCACCAATGTTTCAACTACAGTACGGTACATGATCATAAGAAAAATTGAATCATATATGTTGAATTGAAGTAATAAAGTTGTATATAACATATTATAAGAATATTTATTGACAGCGTCTCTCTACTTATATCATATAATTCATTTTTAATAAATGCTCTTTTCTAATAGATTTCATTTTATACACTTATGATCTAACACATAATGTCATTCTGTTTAACAAATTCTGTTTGGTTGAACAGGTCAACTTAAATGTACATTGTTACCCACAACTTGTCATTTACTTTATGATTTGATTGATACTAAGTAATTGGACATATATCTGATTAATTTGAATTTCATAACACCCACTGTTCCCTAGCTGCTAGCTCATATACATACATGTATATTGCACATTTATGCTAGTAAGTTACTTTCCTAAATATCAAGGCAGCATTTCAAAAAACTGTCATAAGTACAAGTTTGTGGATAACCAACTGAAGTACAAATACTAAATTTTACACCAATTACATGGGATGTCTGTGAACTTGTACTTTTTACGGTTTTGTGAAACTATGCCACGATCTTCTTGCCTAATATAAATTATATAGTTGTACCATAATGCCAGGCCACATCTCTTACATCATCATTAATTTACTCACTTGTAGTTTTGTACCAGATCCTTAGCATCATCTAGCTGTTTATTGGTGCTGATTGCTAGCCTGGAGTCTGTAATACTGAAGAAGTGTTTGAGTCGACCCATGAAGGTAGTCTGATCCCATCTTGGAGAATCCATGTCGAAGCGTGGCTTAGCCACCTCCATCACAGCTGCTGAAGTCATTGTTTGTCTTGTCAGACAAACTCCACAGGCTATCTGAAAGTTTACCCTAAAAATGTTTGGAGAATAAACAAATTAGTTTCATCAACTTAAAAAAAAAGTGAGTAGAATGCATTATCACTTGAAATGTTGGGCAGAATGCACAGAATCTACAGGAGTACACCATTTTCTAAAACTTCAGAGATTGTTACATTTCAAATCAAATAATTATCCAACGAACAATTAGGAAGCAGGAGAGGGAGAAATAGGAAGCAGTTTTACCTGACCTCATAACATCTAATTTTACAATTATGCTTTTTTTCTTCTGCTATTACCATAAAGTATTAAAATATTTAAACCTATGATGAATTACAGGAGTGTTTTTAAGAATTCCTTCTTTAAAATCTGAAGACTTTCTTAGACTTGGCCAATAAAAAGTAACCTGCCATGCCTGTGACTGAACTACCTCCAAGATACTGTTTTGTGAAATAATCTTGGCTCCATTTGCTTAATAAAAAAGTTTTTGATCCTCATAAAATGATAGATAGATTTTGAGGCCTAGATCTAGACTAGTACTAGAAGTTTACTAGATCTAGATCTAGAACTTTGTTAGAATCTTCTTCTATGATTCTTGACTTGTTATGATTTATTTTCATCATCATTATTAGTTACCACTATTATCAACATGACTTCACTATGACACTAGGTCTACATCTAAATAGACCTCTATTATTAATTTGACTAACTAGTGCCTATCATCCTGATTAAGATTATTTATGTATGATAATCATTATCATCAAAAATATTAATTAGGCCTAGAATCTACTATCAACCCAACTCTACTAATCGCTGAGCTGAGCAGGCAAGCCCACGGCCCATCCACAGCGCGGCGGCCTCACTGCTCCGCCCGCTATGAAACCAGTGGCAGTGGCGGGGCGTGTCGAAAAGCGAATACGGTAACCCTAATTCAAGAGCTTAAATATAACTTATATTCGAAGTTTACAATAAACTATTAATACATTTTGTATAAAGGTACAATTATTTCTTGAAATATTAAGAATTTCTATAATTTTCTTACCGTTTCACCACAAAATCAAAAGAAACCTCAAAATTGTCAAGACGGGTCGCGTCGATAGGACCAGCATATATCTGCGTTGTTTTTGTTGTTCGTTTGGTATTATAATGGCTATTAGTCAAATTTGACTATTGTTGCCAATTTCATCGCATCTCTTTCTTTTAATGTCTTGGTAAAATTATTATTTCTTTCTTTCTTTTTCCAATCTCATTTTAATATAATATTAGTCATAGTCTATAAAAAATAAAAACAAAAAATTATTTCAAATTAAACCACGATCCGCACACAGTTCCAACTCACGCTGGCCCTGTCCTTTCATGATGCCTTCTTACCACCCTTACAAAAAAAATCTATGATATTCCTATGGTACGGCTCTATGGTGAATGGTATTTCTATGATATATTATATGGTAGAATATATTTCTATGGTATACCACACAATTGCTGAATGGTGGAGTTCTATGGTCAATGGTATATCATTGATGCCGTCCTATGGTGTATGGTATTTCTATGATATATTATATGGTAGACTATATTTCTATGGTATTTCTGTTGAATGGTATCCCTATGGTGGAGGATATTTCAGTGGTAGCTCTATGGTGGATGATGACTTTATGGTATATCTATGGTGGTTATGTGACTCTATGGTGGCTCTAAAGTGAATGGTAGATCTATGGTAGCTCTATGGTGGCTGTATGGTGTATGGTATTTCTACGGTATGTTATATGGTAGAATATATTTCTATGGTATTTCTGTTGAATGGTATCCCTATGGTGGAGGATATTTCAGTGGTAGCTCTATGGTGGATGATGACTTTATGGTATATCTATGGTGGTTATGTGACTCTATGGTGGCTCTAAAGTGAATGGTAGATCTATGGTAGCTCTATGGTGGCTGTATGGTGTATGGTATTTCTACGGTATGTTATATGGTAGAATATATTTCTATGGTATTTCTGTTGAATGGTATCCCTATGGTGGAGGATATTTCAGTGGTAGCTCTATGGTGGATGATGACTTTATGGTATATCTATGGTGGTTATGTGACTCTATGGTGGCTCTAAAGTGAATGGTAGATCTATGGTAGCTCTATGGTGGCTGTATGGTGTATGGTATTTCTACGGTATGTTATATGGTAGAATATATTTCTATGGTATTTCTGTTGAATGGTATCCCTATGGTGGAGGATATTTCAGTGGTAGCTCTATGGTGGATGATGACTTTATGGTATATCTATGGTGGTTATGTGACTCTATGGTGGCTCTAAAGTGAATGGTAGATCTATGGTAGCTCTATGGTGGCTGTATGGTGTATGGTATTTCTACGGTATGTTATATGGTAAAATATATTTCTATGGTATTTCTGTTGAATGGTATCCCTATGGTGGAGGATATTTCAGTGGTAGCTCTATGGTGGATGATGACTTTATGGTACATTAATGGTGGTTAGTGACTCTATGGTGGCTCTAAAGTGAATGGTAGATCTATGGTAGCTCTATGGTGGCTGTATGGTGTATGGTATTTCTACGGTATGTTATATGGTAGAATATATTTCTATGGTATTTCTGTTGAATGGTATCCCTATGGTGGAGGATATTTCAGTGGTAGCTCTATGGTAGATGATGACTTTATGGTACATTAATGGTGGTTAGTGACTCTATGGTGGCTCTAAAGTGAATGGTAGATCTATGGTGGCTGTATGGTGCGGGGTATGGTGTATGGTATTTCTATGGTATGATATATGGTAGAGTATATTATATGGTATTTCCGTTGAATGGTATATCCCTGTGGTGTAAGATATTTTAGCAGTAGCTCTTTGGTGGATGATGACTTTATGATATATTTCTAGTGGTTAGTGACCCCATGGTGGCGCTAACGTGGCACTTTTTACATAAAAAGGGCCCCTTTACTTTAAAAAGTGCCCCTATTATTTTTTTTAAAGTGCCCCTTTTTCTTCGATAAGTTCCGGTTTTCCTTTGCAATAAGTGCCCTTTTTCCATCTCTAATAAGTGCCCCTTTTCAGATACGAGAAGTGCCCCTTTTCACTTTTGATAAGTGCCCCATTCACCTCTGATAATTTCCCTATTCAAATCTGAGAGGGGCCTTTCCCCTTTTAATAACTACCCCTTGTTTAACTCGGATAAGCGCACCTTATATTTTCACATGTCCCCCCCTATCCTTTCTAACAAGTGCCCCCATTTAAAAGAGAGCCCCTTCCCTTTATCATAAATGCCCCCTTTCCATCTATGAAAACAGTTACTTTTCATTCTTAAGTCCCTCTTCATTCTCATAGTCCCGTTCAATCTCTAGTAAATGACCCTATTAAATTCTGAGAGGTACTCGTTTTATTTTTGACAAGTGTCCCTTTTCCTCCTGATTAGTGCTCTTTTCATCTTCAATAACTGCCCCTTTTATTTTGCCCCATTTAAAAGAGAGCCCCTTCCCTTTATCATAAATGCCCCCTTCCCTTCCTAATAAATGCTCTTTTTCCTTCTTTTATAAGTGCCCCATCCCCTACCCATAATTACCCCCTTTTCATCTCTCATAAGTGCCCCGTTTATCTTGACATGTGCCTCTTTTCTTTTTAATAATAGCCTGCACTTCCCCCTTCTCATAAATCCCCCCCCCCTTCCCCTTGTATTAAATGCCCCTATTAAAAACTGATCGGTGCCCCTTTTCGTACAACAAATCAACATTTCCCCTTATTATTAGTGCCCCTTTTTCATTCTCATAAGTGCCCCTTTTCTTTTCACCTCAGATAATTACCCTTTAACAATGATACGTACGTGCCCCATTTTCACCTTCTGATAATTACCCGTTGTAATTTGACATGTGCTCCTTTTTTTTCTTCTAATAAGTGTCACCCTTTTCGATAAGTGTCCCCTTTTCCTCTCATCACGTGCCCCTAATTTCCAGCTACTAAGAGCAATATCACCCAAACAGGCGCGTACGCAGGATTTTTTCAAGGGGGGGGTTTTAACATTTATATATCGGGCCGAAAATTTCGCAACGACTCAGCCAGCCGCTGAATAAGCGGGGGGGGGGGGGGGGGTAAGAGGTCACTTTTTTTTTGGTCCCCAAAAAATCGCAACGACTCAGCCGACCGCTGAATAAGCGCGGGGGGGGGGGGTAAGAGGACACATTTTTTTTTTTTGTGGTCTCGAAATTTGAAAATTTGACATTTTGCTCTGTTGGGGGGGGGGGGTAAGGTCAGCTTTTTTAGGTCAACCATGGGAATTTTTTTTTTTATTTTTTTTTTTAAATTAAAAAAAAAAAAAAAAAAAAAAAAAAATCCAAAAGGGGGGGGGGGGGGGGTTTTAGAGAAATTTAGGGGGGGTTTACACACTAAAAATTACCAAAGGGGGGGGTTTAACCCCCAAAACACCCCCCCTGTGTACGCGCCTGCACCCAAAGCACACCCGCATTTCTAGATGTTATAATTATGGTACTTATCAAAGGTCTTTTCAGTCTTCTGTTTTGATAATGTAATAAACCCATCAGGATTGGGTTTTTCTTCTTTATAATTGATGTAATTTTTCGCACTGCGACCTCACAAATCTTATTTATAAAGATAAAAAAAATATTGAAATCATCCCTGATAATCTAATCACAATATAGGGGGTATATACAAATGTTTTTTTTTTAAATATATATTTTCGCTGTGAGATTTCCCTTTGTAGGCGCCCTATTTATTTTCTCCAGAAAGTGCCCTTTTTGTTGGTGCCCCCCCCCCCGGCACCCCCCCCCCCCCACTTAGGAAGTCGCTCCACTGCCTCTGTTTGCACTCAATTAGTCTCAATCAATTAAAGAAATCATTAAATAAAAAATTCTAAACCAAATTGTAACAAGTAATGTATATCAGCAGAAAGTAGATAACAAGGGCTGTTTGCTGCCACCTTGTGCCCAAGATTTGAATAACTCTTCTAGCCGTTGGTCTCCAATTTCTACTCACTGAAAATGCTTCGCAAAACTCCAAAATATGTGAGGAAGAGGAAGGTGTTCAAAGGAGATCATTACCAGATATTACAGAAGAGTAACATGAATGCTGGAGAGGTGCCAGAAGAACTAACAGCTAATTCAGAGATCGAGGAAGCTTTCCCTGAATAAGTGTTTGGACAGCCCTATTTTTGGCCCTGGTCCCACATGTGAAGATCCGCGTCATTAGTGGCCCACAACTTGCAGCTGCTTTGCAAAAGGCTCACGTGTGTCTGGGAGGTATGTACTTACTATCAAACAATATCTTTAGTTTGCAAACTGTTACTTCGAGATTGTATTGCATGCTCAAAGGGTGAATGGCTCAAAAAGCCAAATCAAATGATTAAGAATAGAGTAAAGGAGGGGGTAATCGACCATCACCAGTTTTCGGCCGATCCGTTGGATGCATGGTAAAATCCCTGTAAAATCCATCGCATAACAGCATATTGGCTTTCATCGAAAGGGTGCGGTGCGGTGCGGCGCGGTGTGGTGTGCTCAACGCACCCATTCGATAAAAGAGGGGGGCCTTTTCTCGAAAGGGTGCGTTGAGAGCGGAGTACCGTTTTAACACACCCTTTCGATGAAAGCGGGGGGGCTTTTCTCGAAAGGGTGCGTCGACTAGTCTTTCGCATCAGTCGTTTAAAATGAGGATCTCGGACAGAAGGTTTTGTTTTTTTTGTTTGTTTTTTTTTTGTTTTTTAAATAAATCTTTATTCAGGTAAAATCATGGATAACATCATAGTACATAAATATTCATAACAAATCACTGAATCACATGTCTAAATGAGGTCAAATCAAATTATATTTCTATTTACTTAATAGCAGATTTTAAATTAGTTATAGTTTCCTTCCACTTAATAATATTCAAATTTGTTGTTTTAGTTCTGTTTTCCTCAACTTCTATTTTGTATTCTAACATAAACAAAAAATATTTGCTTATTATTCTCGTCACTACATTTTTATTAAATTGATTTCCAACACTCGCTTTATAGATTGCAAATAAACAGAAGGTAATAGTTGCCAATTTAAGTATATCGAAAATGTATTAAATAAAATGGAATGGTCTTGATTACAGAGTGGTCTTTTTCGTTATTACTATGTTGATTGGG